CACGTTTTCTTTCTTTCTGATTTTTTTTGTGTGGGGTATTTTCGGCTGGTTCCGAGGTTCCTTGTGTTGTAACGTTCTTTTCTTTTCTAATGCTTGGCCCTGATCAGGCCGCTTCTGTTCTTAGACGTGATTGTTTGGGATTCATTCTTGGAAGTTATTCAATTTCGTAGTACTTAGGGGTCTTTACTCCTTATTTGAATACGTTCATGTGACATATTTATTTGGAATTGTTTGAATTATTAGTGTGTTTATTTTCTCAGGAATGTATTTTATGTATCTGCGGCGCGTTAATTATCTTATTGATTGATCTTAGACACATTTTGTTTGTGATTAGCGCCTTATTTTTATTTTTATTTTTGTATGTGTTCTGAGTATTTCTAGGTTTAATTAAGTGATTTAATTGATGTTTTGATTAATTATTTTGATGATCTTCCTTGAGTATTTTAATTAGTAATTGCTTTGATTAATCTTGTTGTTTTACTTGCACATTTTGGACTTGAAATTTAATGTGTCAGTAACGTCACTGTTACCAAGGAGTCGTGTGAAATATTGTTACATTATGTTATCCTTTAGCCTTATTGCACAGTATGAGTCATGGTATTTCAAGAAGTGTCTGTCTGCTAAATTTTGGTAAACCAAAATTTAATTCCTTAGGGGAAAGGAATGTTATGTAGAGAAATTACCGGATAGCGTTATAAAAAAATTAGGTGAATGATTTTATGATTTATGGAAATTTAAATTTTTTTTGATTCTGAATTATTTAATTTAAGGCTTTAATTTTGGGGAAATACAGATGCTTCTGGAAATATTATTTAGTTTAAAAGAGTATTATTTATTTTCCTCTATTTGTAATCTTGTACAAACTTTTATTCATTGTGAAAGAAGCAGGGAAAGGGAGGCAATTTTCGCCAAGTCATGATTTCGCGCGCTTTAGAATGTTCGAGAAAGAATTTTCATTGTTAGTTGACCTTAAGAGAGGAAAGTACGTGACGGAAAGGTCAAAGGTTGCTACTTGTCTTTCAATGTAAGTCATTCAGGTTTTGGCGATTGAGGGTCCGGTTGTTGGCTAAGTGAAGAGGGCGCGCATGCGCGATCACCCTTATTTCCGCATTCTGAGTTGAAAACGAAGATTTTGCCATAATTAAGGGGGCGATAAGTGAAGCCATAGTGGGAGCCCGTTTGGTGAAGGACAAGAAGGAAATTTGAGTTGGACACACTCACTTTTGGCTGACTCTCGGACTGACTCGCTGATTTTTGGGCTTGCTGGACAAAATGTAAGTGACTCCGAGAGGTGTTTTCCGGCGGGGAGCGGCAAATATACTCCCCGGCCGCGTTTTGGTTAAGAGGCGAGACTCTCTTACACACTTACTCTGGACACTCTTACTTTTGGACTCGCGCACTTACTGGTTGGCTGGACTTGTGGATGTTACTCTGGAACTTACTTGGGACGTTACCCGTGAAGCTTGCTCTTGGGATGAGTAAGAACAGGCGAGCCGTAATTTCCTAGCAACAACGTTTCTGACCGGCGAAATTTGAACGAGTTACCTGCGTGTTGACATAGGACTTTCAGGACCAAGCGGATAGCCGTCCTGGGCAGCAGTGCTCCTGTTTCTGTTCTACAGTAGTGAAGTGGGTCTACATTTTTAGAACCAGTGTCAAGATGAGCCCGGCCGACATCAACGCGGGATAAGATAAGAGTCCTCCGCTTCAAGATGTCCCTTCAAGATAAGTTTTATTTTTTTTTGGTGTGTTGGAACTTTAGGCAAGTTTTTTCAAAAACGTCCTTAGCAGTAAAAACAACGTCGAATCTAAAATTTAACTCTCAGGCCATAATTTGTTTCCCTTTCCTTTCTTTTAAATCACCAGACAAACCTTAAGTTTTTTATGAATTTAAATGAACAGACTCTCAGATGAGGTTAAGACTTTTCTTATTGTGTTGTAATTGAATAAACTGATATTTAATCTGGAACCTCTTACAGTATGTTTTCTTTATATATTTAATATGAACTTTTCCCTTATATCTTGTATATATTTTTTTTTTTTTTTTGTGTTTATTCGATCCTCTCACGGCGCGGTCCCGGAATGCATTTTTTTCACAACGCAAAAATGCTGTACACGTTTTAGTATACGATTACTGCCTTTTACGGCAAGTAGTTTCATATTTAACATTTAACAATATAGGAATTTAAGATATAACATTGGTGCCGTGAAGTAAGATTCATAACATTATTTCCCGGCGTGAACTTAAGCTATTTAACAGTACCTCTTGAACATTTTAATGTTATTTCTACTGCTTGTATACCTTTTCTTTATTTTTATTTTTTTAAATTTGTTTCTGCTACTTGTTCTTTTAATTGCTGATGTGTCCCGCCATTGGAACTTAGGAAAAAAAAATATTGTAACTTTTATTTAAATCTATCATATATCTTTTAGCTTCACCCGCAAGTTGATACAAACTGCGAAAACGCCCAAATGCCACTTTCTATCCCAAAATTTATTCAGGTTGAACTGTAAGACAAAAACTAAAATATTTAACCATTTCCCTAATCACGTAACAGCAGAGTCGGTTATCATATGATGCAAAAGAAACTAATTTTTCCCTGTGAAGGACTCTAAATTTGTCAACATTATTAATTGCATGATGATTTTAAGAGTAATATTCTCTTTTCACAAAAAAGTTTTATTTTGGTGTTTTGTTTTATTCTTTGATCTGAGGAAATACGAGATCAACTGTCTTCTGCGTAGAATTTGAATATTTCGCAAACAACTTTCACATTTCAGTGTGAAATCTATTTATGAAATATTTATGATTCTCGCTAAAACAGGATTCTTAACGATCTAGAGTATATTGTTTCACAGTTATGGAATTATGAAATCTTTTTTTACAATAATAACGCTATAAGGTATTTCTCCAGCCTTTTTAGCATGCCTTCGTGGCCAAATGGTCAGCACGCTCGGCGCGTATTCGAGAAAGGTCTGAGGTTTGAGTCCCGGTGAGGGCATTGCTTATTTCTTCAATGTCATGCTTGAAAAAAAAAAAAAAAAAAAAAAAAAAAAACTAATGTCGAAATAAAAGGTTGGTGGATGATGATTCTCCATCACTAGGATTTAGCGACAGGGTCCCCTAGTCCCCAGTCGACCTTTAAAAAGAGGGAGCATATAAGGCCTTCCTCCAGCTTTCTTAGCATACCTTCGTGGTGTAATGGTCAGCACACTCGGCGCGTATTCGAGAGGTCTCAGGTTTGAGTCCCGGCGAGGGTACTGCTCACTTTTCATGCCTTCTGCTTTGAAATAACCTAATGTCTCTAAAACGCAATATGGAGAGTTTTATTATTAATACATTAAAAGTGTATAAGAAACTATAGGTAATGCTAAAAAACCATATGATTTTAAAAAAATCATAAAAAATTATTCTTTCCAGCATATATATAGTAGCTTCATCAAAATAATGTAAACGCGATGTCTGCAATGATTTAATCACATAACTTCCCTTAAACAATAAGCATTTCAATCTTTGACAACAAAAATTTATCAAGGCAAAGATGTGACTATATAAGAGCAAAAGGGCAGAATTTCGAATATAGAAGCTGCTATTAATTTCTCTGGTAGTGCCCATCAAAATGATGCTGGAAGGTGCAGAAAATTAGAAAAATGCTGAAAATCGAATTTAATATAATAAAATGAAGTTAGCTTCATTTTATTATATTAAATTCGTTTTATTATATAAAATGAAGCTAACTTCATTTTATTCCTATGTTCCTATGTTCCTCTTCAAGTTTGCTCCTCCAAACTAGCCCTTGATGAAGAACTAAATTATTTAAAAGCAATAGCTATTGACAGGGGCTTTTCGCCCAACATTATTAATCAAGCAGTTAAAAAATTCTCATCTCAACACATTAAAAGGTACACTCTTGTTTTAGGAGATTGTAAAAATTCTATTGTCATTCCCTTCTTTCCATCAATTAGCTATAAAGTTGCACATATTTTGCAGAAATTTAACTTTCGGGTTGTTTATTCTCCTATCAATAAAATTCCGAGTTCCATACTCAAGGACCCCATTCCGGATATGAATTCTTGGGGTAATTATAGGATTACTTGCCAGTGTGGTTTAATTTACATTGGCCAAACTAAGAGAGCCTTAAAATTTCGCGTCAAGGAACATGAGGCATATGTTAGAAAAAAGGAAACACAGAAGTCTTCTGTTGCTCAACATTGTTCGTCCGAAAATCACACTTTCAATTTTTCTGCTGCCAAAATTATTCAAAAAACATCTTCCATTGGAGAACTGGATTTTCTAGAGGCATTTCACATTCAAAAAAATCTTTCTGTTCTAGTTAACGATCCTAATTCCAATCCATCTTTGCCTTTAGCCTTTAAAGAAATTATGTTTTAGTTCTGGTTTCACCAACAGATGGCGAGACTTGCTCATTCTTGTATAGGCGTTCTTATCTTATCGAATCATTATTTCCTATCTTATTCATTTGGGGTTTTGCAGCTGAGGATGGTGGTTCGGTAAAACCATCGAAACTAGTCCTGTGAAAATTTTGAAAATATAACGCTGATTTTTGTTGTTTGACATCCGAATTAGTATTTATTCGGCGTGTTATTGTGTCTTAATTAATCGAATTTCTATCAAGAAATCTGGATTATTATTTTCATTAAATGTTTCATTTTGATGTTATATGTTATCGAGAAACAGAAACTGCTTAAAAGTTCTTAGTTTATAAAAAATATAAACTATGAATGCGTCCGCACTGTGTTATTTTTTATTACTTTAGAAAACATGTAACAAGAGACTGTTTAAGCATTTCCATAGTGTTTAGCAAAATCAAATTACCCTGCCGCATTTCTGGTAAGCGACTAAAGAAGCATCACAATTTGTTATAAAAATATAAGTTACTAATTCTATTAAACATTTGGCAATATATGTTAAATTTTACAATGTATTGTTAAGGTATAAATGTGCAGAGAAAAATTACACTTTCTAAACATGAGCTTACCCATATTGGGAAAAAGTGCTTCCACCGCAAATTGTTTTCTTGCAGTCCTCTCCTATAAAATTTACATAAAATTCATAGTTAGTAACGAACCTTAATAAAATAATCTACAGTTTTTGTAGAAATACAATTTACTTTGTTTAAATGAGATGTCAACATTTCGATGTTATTACATTCATTATTTTCTCTGAAACGAATCAGAGCCATTACCAAAATTTAGCATGGTTAGAATCTTGAAATTTATCATTTCACTCGTTCTCTGTTTCTGATGTACCAAGTCGTGGTTAAAACCCCAAACAGCCGTTAAGCTCAGTAGCCGGTAGGGGGGGAGATAGAGAGAAAAAAGCATTTTTTTTTCTTTCTTTTCTTTTTTTTGGTTGTCTGTATATGTAACGTAAGTACGAGCTAGATTCCAGAAGACAATTTCTCCTTGAAGATTTTTTTCTTTTAGGGAGATGGCCTTCGAGTATTTTTTTAGACTTATTTAATCAATACCTTTTGTAATGTTTTAGTTCCCTTAATTAATTTACTTAATTAATTAATTAGTTAATTTTATTTTGAAGCAGCCTTTCCTGTCGCTCTTGCTTTCAACCTACGCTTTCTCGACAAAACGATATTTCAGTTTTGCGCATTGTACAAAGTAGTGTTGAAAGTTACTATTTAAACTGGTGTCTGAGTTACTTCAGACAAAGCGTGTGCTGTCTTTTGGCCACGTTGTTTCTCTTATATTTAAAGCTTCCTATTAACGACCGGCTTGTCTCGTCGGTGCTAGAACTAACAACCAGCTCGCATTAATTACCTCTCTGCAGCTTCAGATGATTACTTAGTTTTTAACTTTATATTTCTAATTTGAATTTCAGCCGAAAATATTGGCTTAGTGTTGTAAGTATCAGGAGAGCCGACTATAAATATTTTCTTGATTTGGATAAAGGGACCCTTCGCATGTCATGTCACTGGTGCAGTTGAACTTAGCGAATAAACACTTCACAGTTTTAAGTAAAGATCAAGCCAGCAAAAGTAACTTTAATTTAGCTAGAATCTTGCAATAGTCTTATAAAATCTCTTACAGATATAACCATTATAATAGTAGAATTATATAACTGACTTTATGACTGTCTGTAGCTTTAAAGACCGACTTTACGGTCATGGGGTTGTAGGGTTTATATTTATTTTAACTAACATTTATTTTAAGCTATCTTTCCTGTCAAGCCTTTACTTTCCCCTGGAATTGTCAATGTCAGAGTATGTAAATCATAGTAGAACGCGCAGAGTATTCAAATTTTAGCAGAAGTAATTTGAGTTAAAAAGAAGGGAAACGAGATTTGTAAGTGTGCTTCTTGAATCACGAGCGTGAAGGTTGCTTGGTAGAAAGTTTAAGAACCGCGCGTTTCGGCCTGTGTATCTATTTCGACAGTTCGTTGAATCTTTCAAATTCTTAATCAGAAAGTTTGCTGAATCTCAGCTGTATCTTAGAACGCGGTTAAGATAGTTACAATTATAGAGCCTCGTAGATAGTGACTTCGTTAGTTATGCATCATGTCATTTATTTTTAGTTGTACTTTTCTATTTTTGTTTAACCGCCGGGTCGGCGTAGTTCGTGAGCGTCGAGTGAACGCATCTGTGATTTCTAAAGTGAAATAAAAAGGGACTTAAACCCTTCTTACGAGTTTGTATTATTTGCAGTTTATAGCAGTCACTACTACTGTTGCTGGCTAGTTGGGGCCACGCAACATCATCGGTTTTAAAACAAAATTTATTAATGCTATCACGTATTTAACACAAAATATATACATATATTTTCTAGCTTGCGTTTTCGATGTGAATGTTTGTTAAACACGATAAGTGCAAAAATGAATAATGTACAGCATGTAAGACTATAAAAAATATTCCTATTCATAGTTTTTGAACTAATTTTCACTGAGACTCATAAAAACAGCAGGCTTTCTGCCAGGCGATTTTTATAGTGATGGTGGTCACTTTTGAAAAAGGCCACAGAAGACCAAATCATCCCGAATTGTGGAAGGTGTGTGTGTGTGTGTGTGTGAGAGATTATGGCAAAGCCTCGAGGGCTATCTGCCTAAGACGAAGGGATGCCTCCGTGGAGGACATTTTCTAAGGGAAACTGGCTCGTATACACGTTACACATGGGAAAAACCACGAAAACGCCCATGCAGCCAGCCCGTTCGCGGGATTCGAACCTCGGACCAGTGTTCAGCGACTTTACCGCTCGGCCGCTGGTGGGCCAATTGTGGAAGGTAACTTTTCAAAGGGTTCAATGAAAAAATTTGCTAGTTGGTACTACATTCTATGTTTTACGATGAAGAGGCTCCTTTAATATAACATTTAGCATTAAATTTAAAGCATATTTTGATATAAAAATCCATATAATGCACAGATATCTTACACAACTTTTAGTTTGCTCTCAGATGAAACAGTGCGGAAAATACAGTCACATGTGATTCAGAAAATTTGTTGCAAGCATTTCGCTCAAATGGAATGCATAGAATGCATTTTATCAAACATCGTGTTTGCCAAGAACAGTTTTTCAGAAATACCTCCTTAACATTTATTAAAAAATTAATGTTTAGTTTCTGGTTAACTGCACCTTCAACTTCAGCATTAAGTTAGATGATGTCAAAAATTTATAGCTAAATGTCATTTAAGCATTTTGTAGTAAGGATACTTATGACTAGTCTTTTACTTGTTTAGCTATTTGAAACCATAAATCAAATGGTATATTTAGTGAATATACTTAATTCACCAAGGATTGTGATTGATTTGTGCAATTGATATTTGAAATTGTATTTCTGCTTGAAATATTAAATATTATTATTATAACACTTGGATTGGATAATTTGATTTAGGCAGAGCATGCGAGAGTACTATTTGCATAGAGCAGTGGTCGGAAAACTCATTTGTCAACAGAGCCAATTATTAACAGCTGACCGACTGAAATCTCTTGTAAGAGCCACATTTTTTAAACTTAAATTATATAGATAGGTTTATTGTTATTCACTTGATTAGGGTAATGTTACAATGGCTTTTACTAACGGGTTCTCAATCTGGTCAACGAACGTTGGCTGAAGCCGACCCTCTTCCAACTCTCCCAATCTACACTTGTCTTGTATACTCGATTCGTGTATCTTTTTTCGTTCATCCTCTCTATATGACCAAACAGTCTTAACATACCTTTCTCTATTCTCAACACTACACCTTTTTTCACTTTAAAACACTTCCTAAAATTAACTTAATACTTCAATTTTTAAATCATAGTTAAACTATATAGGTATTTATAATAAAGCTTGAAATTACACATAATAAAAATACTATCTGTTGATAAAATACAACTGTAAGGCGTCCAGAAACTTAAATCATGATGATGACGAACAGACACGAAAGTGAACAATGGCCTTGCATCTCCTAAGAAAGTTTGTGTAACTCATATTTATATGCTGTTGTTTTTAATTTTAAGCATGATTCCGGATTCTCATCACTAAGACTATTTGTCAATTTTATCTTGATAAGGTTCACGCTTGAAAATGATTGTTCGCATGAATATCTAGATCCGAGTAGGGAAAGAATAGAAAACGCTAGTTTTTTCAGCTGATTATACGAGTCAAAATTGCTATTCCATGTGCTAAAAATTCAACATATATTCCTTTTGCAGGTCTGTCAAAGCAAACCACTTGTTCTGTGAACTAAGTTCACATTTGTTTTTCTCAAGCGTTTCTATATCAGTGCTACGACGTTCAAATTTCGAGCTCCATAATTCTTTGTCTTTTTAATCCAGCAATTGGGTTTCAAAGTTGCCAATGTCCTTATTAAAGGGAGAAAAATTTAATTCAATTAAAATAGTATTAAGAGGTTTTTTAACAAGAGCTAACGTCGCTTTGTTGTTTCTGAATACCTGAAACCTTCTGAGAAAACAAAGTTTTTCTTTCAAAATCTTAAGCAAAAGAGATAAGTTATTTTCAAATTAAATAACTTCTTCTAACATCGAAAAAATTGTGTTTCTTTTTCCCTGTAGTTTTTGATTAAGCTGATTTAGATGAGACGTAACGTCTACCAAGAAATAAAATTTTTGGATCCATTGATCGTTCGTTAGTTCTGGGTAATAAACATTCTTTTCAAGGGGATATGCTTTAATTTATGTTAATAAGGAAGTGAAATGTTTTCTGTTAATAACGAACGTGCTTTGTTATGCAGCAGAAGATCTGCGTACTCTGCAGCAGAAGATACTGAATGGAGTACATAAGTTTCAAGATTCTCTTGCTTTTACGTGCGCGCCCGCATGTGCTATTTTATAGAAGAGCCTTACTCAAGGAGCCAAAGCACCACATTTGGTTCGCGAACCAGGGTTTGCCGACCACTGGCCTAGAGGATAGATGCCTTTGTGGAAGATATCTTAAGGAAAATTTTATCCACGTTATTCATGTAAGCATGTAGATTGTATCCATATTTCACATATGGAAAACCACAAAATCTCACATGCAGCTAGGCAATTTACCACGATTTGAACTCGAACAGATTTTTTACCGCTTAGATGCTAATACTCTTCGTAGGGGATGAGAATAATCAGGAAGTACCAATAAATGTTTTTCTTACTTTGGAAGTATAAGATCCTTCATTTTTACTCCATAATACTGAATATGTAGAGACGCAAAACATCAGGAATGTGAAAGCTGGGAACCAGCGTACTAGATAATAACAGGCAGTTTCCAGGAATTTCCTAATTATCACGTAACAGAATGAATGGAATGGGGATAGTCTAATGAGTTGCTTCAACACTTCGTGATCATCTCCCAAACCTCTGATATGAGCACAGGTTTCCAAAACTGGGCTATAGACGCAAACACGCATATTTCTGGATGCCGAAAGCCAAATTGAATAAGTTCCTCCGATGATTCCTTTGCTCCACTCAATGAAACTGGCATCCATGTACCTCAGTATCCCCCAAGAAGGATCTTTTATTTGGAATAAAAAAATAAGGTGAATCATAGTAAAGAAAGAAAATTTAACATACACTCAAACTCTCTGAGGTCACAGTGTTTTTGCATCTCTGCTGGTGAGAACAGCAGTTATGAGCTAAATTTATCTAATTTTTCGTTTTACTTCTCTTAATCTATTAAGATTGCATTTATATTCTTAAAAAATACAAAAAGTAAGTATTTTAAATAAGAATGTAGCACACACACTGGCCAATGAATTAGAAACCTTTGAGATTTTCATTTGAATGCGTGCTAGGTATGAAAGATGCAAATGTTTTTTATGAAGTGGGTTACAGGGGTTAGAATGCAATAGCACAAGTAAGGTGTCAGAGTGGCTTTCACGATGAATGAAGTAAAATGGGAAAAACGACAGATCTTTCACCATTTGAAAAGGGCTTATTGTTGGTGCCCGTTTATCAGGGCTAGATCGAAGACGGAATCTAACTGCGTTCTCAAAGCAGCCATCTCAAAGGTTTCAAAAGTTGGAATCAGATCCAAGTTCTTAGCGAAGACGTAATTGCGGTTCGAACACAGTTTTCCAAGAGAGCAATCGGCGTCGTCTCCGATGAACTATACGGCACAAAAGGGACTTTACTGTGTTTCAACTGACACAGATCGTCAACCAAGGCTCTTCCCAACAGATTTTAGCTCGAACCATTTTTAGATAATTGCAGAGGATAGGAATCCATAGTCGGGTGTCTGTGAGAAAACCACTCATTTCAGCCCGACCTGTGAGAATTCGTTTGCAGGGGGGTCGGAAATGAAGACAGTGTACATCTGAGGATTGGAAACAGGTAATGTGGTCGGATGAATCACACTACACCTTATTTTCACTGATGGAAGACGTTGTATTGGCGAGAACCTCATGAAGCCATGAATCCATCTTGCCTTACTCGCACTGTGCAAGTCTAGTGGGAGCATCATGATATGGGGCATGTTCTACTGACTTGGAAGTGGTTCCCTGGTGTTCCTTGAGGGTAAACAAATAGCCATGACTGACAGATCAAGTGCATCCTTCAGTGCTGGATTTTCCCTCTGACGGCGACGGATAATGCCACTATACATCGTGCCAGACGTGTTCAAAATTTGTTCCCTGAACATCAGTCTGATCTCCAACACCTTCCTTGGCTACCGCATGGCCCGGATCTTAACCCCGTAGAAAATGTGTGGGATATAGTGGAATGACGCATCCGACAGCACTCTGCTCTTCCATCTAATTTACAAGATCTGAAAAGTTGCATATCAATGCGTAGCCGTAAATGTACTCCAGAAGGATGTAGACTCGATGCCCAAGCGAATCAGAGCAGTTATCCGTGCAAAAGGTGGTCCAATAAAAATATTGATCTTGCGTTTCTAATTTATTTACTAGTGTGTGTATATCCCAAGGACAACAAATCTCCTTACCGGACAAAAGCGATCGTATCGCTCAGAGAGTCTCGGTATATAAATAAAATTTTTTGAAATTTATATTTCAGTCTAATTGAATAACACATGGTATGAAATAAATTTCCAAATTGAATTTAAACTTACTCGATGGCATTTCTGTACCCCAAAAGCTGCGGACGGATATGCTGCAAATTTGAAGCAGAAGCCATACTACGGCAGGAAATAATAGCATCTGAAAATAAAAATTATTAAAATTTTACATATTACCTTTTTAGGCACTTTTCAGTTGTGCACTTCCCGCACTTTTTTGGGCGTTTGTGAAAGAGACACCAAACCAAATTTGAATAAATATTTGAATAAGTATTTAAAAAACTGAAACTTTTTCCTATTGAACCTGACATGCTTTTTGACACCTGTGAAAGAGAAGCCAAATGTACGCCGAGATAATTATATTACCATCTAATAACTCTATGTGTATGTGTGTAAACAAGAATAATTAAACACACATGGCTATGATTACAATAGTACTGCCAAAATGCGTAAGAGGTGCATAACCGAAAAAGTACAACACTTATTCAAATCTAATATTTGATAGCATTATTTTCTGATAAAGACAGATTATCTTTCTTTTCGCAATTAGCGTTAAATTTAACGTATACAGTTAATATAAAAATAGGTGAAATGGGCAAATATCTTTCATAACTTTTAGATAGCATTAGTAAATTTTTATCTCTCCAAAGAAGTAGCGGTAAAAATACAATTAGCAGTAGAAAAAGGGAACTTAGAAAAATAAATTGAAATACAAATAAATCAAAATTAAAAACACCCTTCGAACTCAAATTATTATAATTGTATGATTTCAAGGAAGAAGTAATCCAAATATACTGAAAACATTATTAATAAACACCAAATTGTTAGCATTTTATCATTACGTTTTTAAAATAAAAATAAAATAAATAAAAAAGGAAAGAAATATTAGATACCTTATTGTTACTGCCCATGCAAAATCAAAAAATTTTCATCTGTATCTCTGGTAAACGCATATATAATTAGAAACATATCATACATTACGATACACTTGGAGCAATGAAGGAAAAAAATAATTAGATTTCTAGAAAGTAGTGGTTTCAGGTGAATAAAAAATAAAGGGGGAAAATATTATAGCATATTTGCACTATTTTTAATAGTATGGAGAAAGAGTTTACGTATATTGAAGTTCAAGAATTGTCTAATAAAACCCACTTTTTCACGTGTTTTTTCCCCTCGCGAAGTTAAGAAAGGCATTACATTATACGATTTTAATGGATGTTATCTTTACATGTGCTTTTTTCTTTCCTCGTGAAAATTTGTTTCCCGTTGTACAGGGTTTTTAACTAAATTAAAGAAAGAATTCCATTTGAAATGCCTCTGTTATGGGAAGCGGTAGTTTGTTAACGAAGCGTTCACATAGCTTTTTACATCTACAAAGTAAAATGAGAAAACACATAACATTTTGTTGTTTAAGTTAATCATATTTTCACTAGAGTGGAAAAGGAAGTACTTTTATTTTATTTTTGGATGCTGACGAAAATTTTTAAATGCTTTAAATTCATGCTTAAGCATTTGCTTCATTGTAACGGTGCAGTCGAAACTCTCTCACCTATAGCATTACAATACGATATTAGTACTTTGCTCAGAGGCAGAACACTGTAAAGAATGGGCGCACACTGTGCAGCCGTACAGGACGGCAGAATTAGGAAAGGGCAAAAATGTTTAGAATTTTATGAATCACCGAGTAGCAAAATTTAGGGATCACAAATATTTTATAATTTATTGAAGCGCTGGACAGCAGTATTTAGGAGTAACAAAAGTTTTAGAATTTAGAGAGGCACCCAGTAGCAGAAATTAAGATCCGCAATGGTAGCACCGGTTTGCAAAATGCCTAACTCTGGCCCTGATCCTGTTACTCATGAAGAATGCTTTTAGTCTTGATCCTAAAGACTGACTGGTGTTATTTTTGTTTTCGAGTCCATATTTCATGGAAGAATGGTTTCCAGAGTCTCAACGAAGTTAGACTTCTACTTTCCACCTCAATTTTAGGGAACAGCATCTCGAGAGGGTGGTCCAAGGGTATCCCACCACAAGGTATCCCACACAACCTTCCATTAAACCATATGAAAGGACTTTCGGCTCGCCATACATTTAGAGTGCTCCCATACTGTAAAGACTATACATTTAAAAATATCCAAGCCTTTTCAGAAAATCGGAATCGGGCTTTGCGGTACAGCAGTCAGAATTAACTACTATTCCGTCTGATGGTAATTAACTTACAAAATTAACCGATTTATTTACATTTACAAATATTTTAGGTCTTATGTAAGTAAGTTATGAAAATACGAATCGGTAAAATGGACTACCAAAACGTAGATTTTCAGTGATATTCTCTTAGACAGCTCATCAGACACATAGCTAGAGTTTTCAACTTCCGGGGACAGATGAAGATTTTCCGCCCCCTTCTGTTTGCCATGATAAGAAAATATTTCATTCAAAAAAATCGTAAGATCAGTTTGGCGTCCCCTGAATGCTGCACCCGGAGACAGATGCCCCCTTTCTACCCTCTAACAACGCCACTGATTAGACCAAAATGTAATAAGCGCCTACGCTTTCGCTTAGCAGGTGTAAATGTAAAGGAGGGCCAAATTTAACCTGTAGTAGCCACTTTCTATTGAATCGTAACTTCTGCAAACTGAATGCTATCATTTCATCAGTCTGATATATTTACTCCGCATACATCTGCCTGTTCCTGTGGCGGTGAGTCATGCTAAGCAATGCTAAGCGTCCGTTGCTGACAATACATACGGCAACACTAAAGTAAATTTTTGTAGAAGCGCAAAGAACGCCCTGTCGAGGAGCAGTACTCATATTTTAAATCTTGGAATAAAGATAAATTTGTGTGCATTACGTCTTGGAATTCTTGATGAATGCAATGAGAATACTTTAATGTGCTATGGAAGATCAGCACCATACGCCACTGCTGTGTTCTAACTGAAACTATCTTTCTTGGGACCAGTGAGCGGACGAAAAAATTTATCTCTGTAGGATATTGTTTATCATTCCCATTTATACCATTGTATTCTTTATTTCTTCCAACATACGTCGGAGTATATTTTCACTTTATGTAGAGTATTTACAAGTATTTTAGATTTCTCTTTGCTTTAAGTGGAAGCTAATAACCTTAGGATGGTGGTCATGAATTTCAGAAAGGATCAAGGATGTGACAAGATGATGCATTCATTGGACTTCTAACATTAAAAATTCATCAGGAAAGCACATCTTTTAATTTTACTCTGTTCTTATTATGCATTCATTTAAAGTTTCAATTATTTTAAAATTAAGACACAATAACACGCCGAATAAATACTGATTCAGAAGTCAAACAACAAAAATCAGCGTTAATTCACAAAATTTTCACAGGACTAGTTTCGATGGTTTTACCGAACCATCATCTTCAGCTGCAAAACCGCAAATGAACAAGATAGGAAATAATGTTTAGATAAGATAAGAAAGCCTGGACAAGAATAAGCAAGTGGCGCCATCTGTTGGCGAAACCAGAACTAAAACATAATTTCTCTAAAAGCCGAAGGCAAATTTGGATTGGAATTAGGATCGTTAACTAGAACAGAAAGATTTTTATGAATGTGAAATGCCTCTAGAAAATCCAGTTCTCCAATGGAAGATGTTTTTTGAATAATTTTGGCAGCAGAAAAATTGAAAGTGTGATTTTCGGACCAACAATGTTGAGCAACAGAAGACTTCTGTGTTTCCTTTTTTCTAACATATGCCTCATGTTCTTTGACGCGAAATTTTAAGGCTCTCTTAGTTTGGCCAATGTAAATTAAACCACACTGGCAAGGAATCCTATAAATACCCCAGGAATTCATATCCGGAATGGGGTCCTTGAGTATAGAAGTTGGAATTTTATTGATGGGAGAATAAACAACCCGAAAGTTAAATTTCTGCAAAATATGTGCAACTTTATAGCTAATTGATGGAAAGAAGGGAATGACAACAGAATTTTTATAATCTCCTAAAATAAGAGTGTGGCTTTTAGTGTGTTGAGATGAGAATTTTTTAACTGCTTGATTAATAATGTTGGGTGAAAAGCCCCTGTCAATAGCTATTGCTTTTAAATAATTTAGTTCTTCATCAAGGGCTAGTTTGGAGGAGCAAACTTGAAGAGCACGGAAAACATAGGAATAAAATGAAGCTAACTTTTGTTTAGTCGGATGACATGATTTAAAGTGTGGTGGAAGGCAAACCGATGAAGGTTTACGGTAAACTGTAGTACTGAAGTTGGATGTGTTACGTGTGACCAGAATGTCGAGAAACGGAAGAGAATTGCAAGTCTCAAGTTCAAAAGTGAACTGAATAGCAGGATCAATAGAATTCATTGTTGAAAGAACTTTATTTAAATCATCTTTATTACCTTCAAACAGGGTAAAAGTATCGTCTACGTAGCGGAACCATGCCGGGAAGTTTAAAGTTTCAAACAATTTTGATTCATAATAATGCATGTAGATATCAGCCAGGATGGGACTGAGGGGGCTTCCCATGGCTAATCCCTCAGTTTGCTTGTAATATTTATTTTGGAAAACAAAATGTGTTTGTTTCAAACAGAGTTGAGTGAGAGAAATTAGCTCATCAATTTCGATGCAAGAGAAATGAAATTCGCGAAGTCTGGTTTCTAGACATCTTAATGCACCCTCCACTGGGACATTGGTGAATAATGATTTTACATCAAAAGAAACCATGAGTAAATTACTAGGAGAAATGTTTTTAACCTTTTTTACAAACTCTATTGAATTTTTTATGGTGTAAATGTTATTGTCTAATAGAGTGGAAAATCTAGAAACTAAATATTTAGCTAAATGGATACGAGGCAGTACCTAAATTTGATACAATAGGGCGGAAAGGAATACCACTTTTATGAATTTTGGGAAGAGCATATAATCTGGCACAATTCGCAACAGATGGGATAAGCGAATGTTTTAAGTTGCTTGAAATGATTTGCGAAGATTTGATCGCAGTTTTTATTTTGGATAAGTCCGAAGGTGAAGGATCTTTAGGGATCGGATTATATGGTCCTTCGTTTAAGAGTTTAGTGACACCATCGATGTAAGTGTTCTTATCCATGACGACTATCTGGCCACCTTTGTCGGCCTTTGAAATGATAATATCCGGGTTAGAATGAATTTCGCGCATTGTAGCTCTTTCTCTCGCAGTTAGATTTGGTTTCAAAGGTTTATTATTGAATTTCACATTATGAGCGATAAGATGCCTAATCATTTCTTTCTGTGAATCTGAAACTTTACTGAACTTGAAAGCTTTTTCGATAGGAGCCAAAATCTTTGGAATCGAGGGTTTACAGGTTTGTGAGAAGTTAAAATTATATTTTAGAATTCTCTCTTGTTCTTCTGAAAGACTAACATTAGAAATATTAACTATTGGCTTGATGTTTACAATGGGAAGATTTTTTGAACTACTTGAACTGGAAGACTGTAAAAGAAGTTTTTCGAATTTAACTGCAAGGGTGTTTTTATGACGGTTAACTGCATTCTCCGTTCTAGACCAAGACTTTTGTTCAAGGGCAGTGAATTTTGGATATGATTTAGCGAGTTCCAGATGAAGCTTATAGAGTTCATGTTCAATTTTGGACAATTGTTGACGTGTATCCCTTATCACGGACCGAAGTAAGGCAAGCTTGCAATTTAACAGAATTCTTGAAACGCGACTCGAAGGTTTTTGATTAGATTTGATTTGAATAAAATTGGGGATCAATTTTTTACATTTACATTTAAGTAAAAAGTCAAGATGATTCAGGAATTTTTGCCGTTTCAGGCGTAATTTAGTGAAACGATTAACGGATGAAGGCATGATAAACAATGCAGAAAATCAAACTAAATTAACTGAGCAATAATAAAGTACACACAAAACAGCAGAAAAATCCCTCACTGAAATGAATAGAAAACAAAACGTTTGTAAGCAAAATGCATGAAATCAGACAAGCAAAGCACAATATCCAAATGTACAAAACATAAACATAACTTGAAAATTGCAAAAATGTACTCACCGAAACTCCTACAATCACAAAATGGCGGCCACACCACGTGCAAAAAAGAAAGCAAAATGTAAGCCTGTTTGGGGCTTCTATAATTAAGAC